ACAGCCAATACACTGGCAGTCCTTCAAGTCTCGAGGGCCGCCAGGTGCAAGTCAAGGAAGCACACAGCTGAGTCCTCTGAAGAGCAATTCAGGCAGTCGGCCACAGGCAGCAAACAGCAGGGCAGGTCACCAACAGTCAGCCAGATGACAGGGTCCAACAGCCCCCAGTTCAATCGATGTATATGCCAGTAGCATGGCGAAGCAGGTCCTGAAGGAACCTCAAACTACAGCGACACGGTCAACGGGTTAGGTGTCCCACAGGTAGTGCAGCTTGAAAGTTGAGGCAGAGAACCAGCTAAGGCGGCCGCACACTGGTCTGATCATCAAGAGCAAGAGACCAGAAAGGCGAGGCTCACTGAGCCATTTGCCTCTTCGCCCTTCACTTAATCCCACATGCGTTCCTTGGCCAGGCTGGCACCATAAGCCTCCCTACTGCACATGCAGACTGCCCACGCTGTGTGCAGTGAGTTACCTACCCACTGGGCTGCTCGCCGCAAAGTCAGCTGTTCGAACCCCCCAGCCTCTCTGCGCTCGAAAGATGAGGCTTCCTACTCCTGTCGGGAGTGACAGTCTGGGACGTGAAGTAGACGGGGCAGCTGGGCGCCCTGGCAGTGGGTTCAGCTTGTCCTTTGGGGCCGCCTGCTCAGCTGTGGGTTGTGGAGCAAGGGCGTGGGCGCAGCCATGCTCTCTGCACCCACCGCTGTGTTTCCGTGTATTGTGCCTGTCGGGCTCACAGGTGTTCAACATGAAGCCTCTGCAGGTTGTCTTCCCCTCCCGCGTGGACCCCGAGAGCCCGCTCATCGACTTGGACCTGCACCTACCCTTGCTCTGCTTCAGACCCGAGGCCGTGCTGCAGGTGAGCCCGTGCCGGCCTCCCCCGGGCTCCCGTTGTCTGCCGGGGTGTTGCTCAGGGCGACCTCCTGGGGGCTTCCATGTGGCTGCTTCCCACAGGGATCACCAGGCCTCGCTTCGGAGGCACCACCGGCTGGACTGGAACCTCCGGCCTCTTAGGCAGCAGCTGAAGCATTTGCAGTTTCTACCACCAGGGCCCCGCCTGGACGGGACCAGAGCTCTGCCCACTGCGGGCCTGTAGGACAGAGGGGTGCTTCCCCTGAGGGTGTCCGAGGCGGCAGCAGACGGTGCCCTGGCTCGCGTGGGGCAGCTCTTGCTGCATGGAGCACCACGCTGTAAGCGTGGCACCCCAGGGCTCCCTGAACTGGTTGGACGGGGTGTCAGGCTCGGCTTCATGTTAAAGCGCAGTCAGAACGTATGTCCCTGGGAATGTTTGTTTTCGGTTTGTAGCCAGTGTTCAGTGCATGGGGTTTGCAAGTAGCAAATGGAGCAGAGAAGACAGGTGCCAGGTGTGTGTGAGTCTGTGTGTGGTCTCAGGGGCATGTGTAAGGTGACAGGTGTGTGTGTGAGTGCCCGTGTGTGGTCTCAGCTGGCACGTGCGTGTGCCTGTGTGTACAGGTGTGTCCCTGGCCCTGTCGCCCCTGCAGGTGCTCACATGCCTGCTCACCGAGCAGCGCGTGGTGTTCTTCTCCTCCGACTGGGCCCTGCTGACGCTGGTGGCCGAATGCTTCCTGGTGTACCTGCACCCTCTGCACTGGCAGCACACCTTCGTGCCCATTCTGTCGGGCCAGATGCTGGACTTCCTCATGGCGCCCACCTCCTTCCTCATGGGCTGCCACCTGGAGCACTTCGAAGAAGTCAGCAAGGTGCGCGCGGGCTCCCTGCCTCCTGCTGTACCGACAACCGTGCCACAGGGGTGGGCCTCCCACAAACACTCATTCATATTCTCACCGTGCCAGGGGCTAGAGCCCTCCAGGGTTGCGGTGGGTGGGAGTGGTCGCTGGTCCTCCTTCCGATTCCCCGAGGAGGAGCCGAGCCCTTGGGCATCTTGCAAGGGCTTGTCGTCCAGTTGCATGTCCACTCTGGTGAGATGCCAGGTCACAGGGCCCGCCCTGTAGCCGGTGCTGCGTTTCCAGAGTGCTCCGTGGACAGTGGACACGACTCCCCTCGCGGACAGGGCTTGTCTCTTTAGTCTCTTAACCGTTTGGCTTTGGGCTCAGAAATCTTCCCAAACACACGAGTCCCCGAGCTCTGGTTAGCAGTGCAGCAGCCGGCCCGTGCCCTGTGCTTCCCTGAGCACCTCAGAGCCAACCCCAGACCCAGGAGGGCTCCGACAGACAATGGGGTCTCCTCGGCCCGGCCTCCTAGAGGGACTGCCACTCATGGGGCAGGTCACCCACCCGGGCACCCAAGGAGTACACGGCCAGCTTGTTAGGAAAGAGGGGAGGTTGGCTCGAGGGTTTAAGACTGGGCAACTGGTTTTAGGTGTGGGGAAAAGATAAAACCAAACATGTTTCAGACACGTCATCAGGAAAGCTGTTTGCCCCCCGCACCCCCTTACCAAACCCTTTTGTGGGCTGTGAGCTCTGGAAGGTTCCAGGAAGAGAAGCCAAGCTTGGCTGAGAGCGTTGGGGACTGCTTTTGTCCCTGGTGCTGGGGACAGGAGAAGTCGGCCTGGGAGTGGCGGGTGTGGGCAGAGGGCATGCTGTGCCCTGTCCTGAGTGTTTGCCGGGTGTCTGTGAGGCCTGGGGTCCAGGGCCTGGTGTGTCTGAGGGCCTCTAGGTGCCACAGGGAGTGGGCAGCGGTCCCTCAGGGATGCCACATGTCACCACACACATATTTCAGAAATTCTTAAGTGTGTGTACTCACCGAGGCCGGCCCTGCCTCTGTGGCTCCTGGCTCCTGTTCTAGGCCCGGCAGACGGTGAGGTGCACTTGGGGTGAGGAATGTGCCCATCCCCTGGGTCCCCCTCGGAGGAGGGCTAGTTAATGAAATCAGGTGTGTGAGTGTAACGCCACCCCCCATCATGCCTTAGAACCCGAGTTAGGAGGACGGCACAGGGTGGGCTTCCTTCTGCTGTCTCCCTGGGTGGGAGCTGGCCTGGCAGTGGACATCCTGCCGTTTGCAGACTTGATATAAGGTGGGAGGCCCTGGTGACACACACAGAAACCTCAACCACTGGTCCCCCCCGTCCCCCGCGGAGGCTCCTCAGGAGATGGTCCTTGGCTGCCTGCATCTGGGTCCCGGGCTCAGGGTCCATGTTCTGCTTTGCACCCGGGTCCCAGGAGTCCGAGTCGCCCTGGGAGCGCTCCCAGGAGTGGTGCACGGGCCGTGTGCATTTCCACTAATGCGCACCCTGCTCAGCGGGCTTTCAGAGGAACCTCACCCTGATGTCTGCAAACGCCTCTCACAGGAAGCCGACGGTCTGATGCTCATCAACGTCGACAGTGGGAGTGTCACTTGCTCTAGGCCTTTGGACGCCGAGGTGGACATCCCCGAGGTCCCCATGCATGCGGCCCAGACCTTCATCCAGAGGTAGGGTGGAGTGGACTGGTGGGTAGATCAGGCAGGTGTACACTGTGGGTGGACCAGGTTGGGCGTGCACTGAATGGACCAGGCGGGTGTACACTGTGGGCGGACCAGGTGAGCGTGCACTGGATGGACCAGGCAGGCATACACTGGGTGAACCAGATGGGTGTACACTGGGTGGACCAGATGAGTGTACACTGGGTGGACTCAGCGAGCAGGCACTGTGTGGTGGACCCAGTGGGTGGACTCGGGCGGCACGGATGTGGTGGGTACTTGGTGGTGTGTGTGGTGAGCTGTTGCCAGTTGTCTGTGAGATGCTGGGGCTGTGGTGTGTGTGTGGACTGGGGTTATTGGAGAGCATTTCCGGGGAACAGTGATTTGACTTCATCCTGTCTTGCTGATGGTCTGGGGGTGAGGTGTCAGGTGAGGACCACCTGGGGGTCCAGCACCCTCTGTGCCCAGGGTCCCGAGTGGTCACTGGGTCCTTCCTGTCGAAGGCTGTGAAGCACTATGGGCGCTGCCTGGGAGCCAGCCGCTGTGCTTGGCGTCTGAAAGCTGGGTCCTGAGCCGTTGCTCTGCTGCTGCTCCCCAGACGGGCACCCCAGGGCCTCCCTGCAGCACTGCAGCCAGGTGGGAGCAGCTTTCCTCTGGGAATGCCCCTGGGGGACTTGGAGGGCTGCCCTGCTGACTCTGGGAAGCACCAGCCCACTGGCCCATGACTCATGGAGTGGGGCGTGCTGTGATGCTGGAGGGCGGCCAGCTCTGGGCATATGTGTGTGCGTGTGTGTGTGTGCGCGCGCACGTGCGTGTGTGTGTGTGTGTGTGTGTGTGTGTGTGCTTCCAGGAAGGTGGCACTTCCCTTGGTCCCCAGGAGGCTGAGGCTGGAGTCCTGGCACAGCGGGCCATGGGGTCTCAGACGGACTCAGCCCTGTCTACTCTGTGTTGTCAACATGGTCAGACCTTGGTGTCTAGACAGCGTCCCTGAGAGCCCATGTGGGCACCTCCTTGTGGACAGGGGACACGGTGTGTCTCCATGCTGCAGTGGACAGCGTCCCCGAGACGCCCTCTCTGGCCTCCCCTGTCCTTGTCCCCAGCCCAGCCCTCTTGGGGGCAGGAACAGGGTCCCCAGCCATCCCAGCCTGCTGGGGGTTCCCTGGGAGGGCCGACATTGGGTGTGGGCTTAGAGCCCATTGGGTCCTGCCTGGGTAGGGTGTGAGAGGGGAAGCTTCTGGAAGCTTCCAGGAAGTCCCTGACCATGGTCCTGGAGTGGCCATCTAAGCTGGACAGCCGGGGGCAAGATGAATTGTTCAGGTCTGTGAGTCCAGCGTCCCCACCTGGTCGTGCTGGCAGGAGGAAGACGACCCCCCCTAGCTCCCCTCCCTCCCATCCGAGGTGTTTTCTCTTTGGGGCACAGAGAGCTACCACTTTGTTCCCTCAACTCTGGGCGAGCAGCCTCACCCCCAACGCTTCCAGAGTGTTTTCTGTAACTACTGAACAGCCTGGTCTCTAGGCAACCCTGTGTCCGGCCTTCCTATCCGGGGGACCCTCAGTGTGTCTGTGTGTGTGTTGGGGCGGGGGTGTGTGTGCCCTGGAGAAAGTCCCGGGACTTTGAATTCCACTTTCCCACGAAGGTGGAGAAAGAAACCCTCTGGACCTCCCCCTGGTGACTGGCCTGTCCTGCATGGCACCACCCTGACTGGGCTCCTCCACGTGGTCTCTGGGGGTTCCGTGGCCGAAGCACTGGCCTGCCCACCACAAGGTCAGAGGTTCAAACCCCCAGGTGGCGCTGAGGGAGAGAGAAGAGGCCATGTGTTCCCAAGAAGATGCACAGTCTGGGGTGGGGCGGGGTCCAAGAAACAGCTCAGCTCTGTGCTCCGGGTCCCCTGAGCTGGAATGGACCCAGGGCAGGGGGCATAGTTGGTGTGTCTCTGTGTGGCTCCATTGTGTGTGGTGTCACAGAGGGCTCCCAGGATGTGTCTAGACTCCTCCAACTTATTGGGTCCCTGTGGCACCCTGGGGGCGTTGTGGTTACACGCTGGGCTGTGATCTGCATGGTTGGCTGTTCAAATCCACCAGCAGCTCTGAGGGAGAAAGACTGCTTTCTACTCCCGCCTACAGCTAGCCTCAGACACCCGCAGGGGCGCTGTGAGTGAGCGTGTGCGGGGTGCTGTGTGTACTAGGCCGTCTGCATGAGCCCTGGGCATGTCCGTGGGACAGAGGGCCTAAGAAGAAAGGCCAGGTGATCTTCCAGAAGCACAGGCTTGACATGGGGAGGAGCCCAGTCCCTGCTCACAGGGAGTGGGGGAGCGGGGGCGCCATGATTCAGGACAGAGCTGGGAGCCAGGCATCTCCAGCTGGACAGTCGTAGGTCAGGGGTGCTCGGTGGCCAGCCCCCTGTCCTCTCCCCAGGGTCCAGAACCTGCAGCTGCACCAGGAGCTGGACCTCGCGCACCGCAGCGCCAGCACAGACCTGCATGAGGGCCAGGGCCGCCGGCGCGCCTGGCAGCAGCAGCTCAACAACCATATCCAGCAGGCTGCCCTCCAGCTGCTGGTCAGCATCTTCAGGTAGGAGGGACCGCAGCACCCCTGAGGCTCAGGCCACCGGAGGGTCTGTCACGGCAAAAGCGAGCTGGGCCGGTCCCTGCAAGGCCTGTCCTTGTTGTCAGACCCCTTTGGCTCTGGCTCTCTGTACTCCAACCTGCACGGGGGGTGGGGTGCCCTCAGGGAGCCCGAGTGGTGTGTAGCTAAGCGCTGGCTGCCCGCCAGAAGTTCGGGGGTTCAAACCCGCCCATCAATGCCAGGGAGGAAGAGCTGGTGACCTGCTCCCAGAGAGACCTTAACCTGAGCCACCCGCTCCCTGTCCCAAACCCCCACGCTCCCCACGGGCAGTTACAGCCAGAGCATGCTCACCTGGTGCATTTTCTCAGGGAGGATCCCCCACCACAGGTCTACTGTGCCTCCTCCAGCCCCACCTGTGTCCTGCACATTCTCACCTGGCTGCCCTGTCTCAAGTGGGCCCAGAGGGGGTGGGGCCAATAGCAGTGGGTCAGGGAAGGTTTGTGCCTAAGTTATTTGTGTCCTAAATTCCATGGTTGCGAAGTGTGCATGCACGTGCACGTGTGTGTGCATGCATGTGTGTGTGACCTTTTCTTCCCTCCAAGCTCCCCTCTTCTCTCTCCCCCCAGTGGCTCTCTCCCGGGGTAGTATTCCAGGGAGGCGAGGTGACCCATGGGCAGGTCCGTGCTGTCTGGAGGTTAGTCCACTGGGTGGGCTTTAAGCTGAGCTCGCCCGGTCAGGGTGCAGTGTAGCACCGATGAAACATACACCTTTCCTCTAGTTTTTGAATGCTTCCTCCCCACCACTATCATGACCCCAATTTTATCTTACAAATCGACTAGACCAGAGCAAGTACATTGGTACAGATAAGAGCTGGAAACACAGCGAATCCAGGACAGATAAACCCCCTCTGGACCGATATTGAGAGCAGTGATATCAGGAGAAGGGGAGGTGTGGGGAGAAAGGGGGAACCGATCACAATGATCTACATATAACCCCCTTCCAGGGGGACAGACAACAGAGAAGTGGGTGAAAGGAGACATTGGACGTGTAAGACACGGAAAAAAAAAAGATAAATTATGAAGGGTCTGTAAGGGAGGGAGGGGTGGGAAAGGGAGAGGGGAAATGAGGAGTTGATACCAAGGGCTCAAGTAGAAAGAAACTGTTTTGAGAAAGATGATGGCGTCAAATGTACAAATGTGCTTGACACCACGGATGGATAGATGGATTGTGATAAGAGTTGTACGAGCCCCCAATAAAAAGATTTTTTAAAAAGCTGAGCTTGCTGACCACCAGCCTTGGGGTGACGGTTTCAGAGACAAAATGGTTTTGTCCTTGTGCTGCTGCCTTAGTTTATGTGAGGCCGGGGGCTTGTCGGGAGCAGCAGGGGCTGGGGGCTCGCAGACCAGCCGTCAGCCCATGACAGGGTAACTCGGACAGGCCTCCCGACCCTCCTCGGAGGCTGTGGCCCGTTCCTGGGTCCCCATGCACATCAGTCATACCGACACGCTCCGGCCTGCGATGCGGGCAGGTGACGGCGGCCTCTTCTCCTGGCTAGGGAGGTGAAGAATCATTTAAATTATGAACACCGAGTGTTCCACAGTGAGGAATTCCTGAAGACAAGAGCCCCCGGGGAGCAGCGGTTTTATAAACAGGTGAGAGGCACGCGTGCACCGTCTCTGTACCCCGCCCCTGCTTTGAAAGCCTGCGTCTTGGGACACGTGTGCTCTGCATCTGTTCGGAGCTGATGGGTTCCTGCGTCTGCTTTTCCCGGGTCCCCCACCCGAGCAGTGACCCATCTGTGCTATCCTTGGGAGGGAGGGAGGTGTGGGGGACGTGACACCCCATCCCTGGCGTTTCACCCCTTCACAGTGGTGTCCCACTGTCTGGCGTGAGACACTTTCAGGGTCTCTCCTTGTCCACTGGGCTCACCCTGTGCCCCCACCCCCGTCCACTTTCCATCCCGGGGCTCTCCCACCCTTTCATGACACCCCCAGCATGTGTTCCTTTGTGTAGAGGGATTTCTAATTGAGGATTAGGTGGGGTTTACACTTCAGATCAACTCTGCGTGCAACAGTTCAGCCGAGTCGTCAAGCGCCCCCCGCCCCGACTGTAACCTACACCCCCCGATTCTCCCTCTCGTGGACCCCCATCCTCCCTTTCACCCAAGTCAGCACCTGTCAGCCTGCTAGCCTGCTGCTGCATCTTCTCCCTTCCCCTCCTCCCCAGGGGAGATCCCAGTCGATTCCCCTTGGCTGGCCAGCCTAGTCTTGGTGTTGATCCTCATAGCAGGGTCTTTGACAATGCTGTTCCTTTGTGATCCCTCCCTTCCCTCAGCACCGTGCTCCCCAGGCCCATCGTGTCATGAGGGGTCTCCTGGGTCAGCATTCATTTTCAGGGGTGTATAGTATTCCACGGTGTGTACGTACCACAATTTCTGTGTCCATTCTTCTACGACGGGCCGTGAACAGAGGAGCACACATGTCTGTTCACGTGCCGGCTCTCCCTTCTTCGGGGTGGACACCTAGCAGAGAGGTTGCTGGCCCCTTGAGAACCGTTACCCCCAGGTGTTTGAGGTGGTGCCAGGCCGCTGTCCACACTGGTTGTTTTGTGCAGACCTTGCCTCTGCGTCCTCATTTCTGTCAGGCTTGCTTCATGGCTCCTTCCCCCCTGGCACTGGCTGGTGTGGGTGACTGGACACCAACCCCCTGCCATCGAGTCTGTGCTGACCACGGTGATCTTATGGGCCAGGGTGGACCTGCCCTTGTGAGTTCCTGAGACTGTAACTCTGTACGGGAGTAGAAAGCGTCATCTTACTGCCTTGCAGCCGCTGGTGGCTTCACACTGCTGGCCTTGCAATTAGCAGCCGATGCACACTCTGCGCCACCGGGGCCCCTGCCGACAGAGAGGTCTGTTCACTTCCGGGCACGTCTCAAGGGGGGTGGTCTGCGTTTCTTGAGCTAAACTTATTCGGCTGAAAGGCAGTGTGATGGTGGATTTACCCTGGACATTCCACGTGGACAGGGCCACACCATGTGTGGACATTCCATGTGGACAGCAGCACACCGTATGTGGATATTCCACGTGGACAGGGCCACACCAGGTGTGGGCATTCCACGTGGACAGCAGCACACCGTGTGTGGACATTCCTCGTGGACATTCCACGTGGACAGCAGCACACCATGTGTGGACATTCCATGTGGGTAGGGGGCATACTGGGCATGGGCAGCCCACGTGGACAGGGACACACCATGTGTGGGCATTCCACATGGACGGCATCACACCGTGTGTAGACATTCCACGTGGACAGGGCCACACCAGGTGTGGCCTATTCTGCTCCGCTTCATGCTTTCAAGGTTCATCCACGTGGTAGCGAGTATCAGGGTGCTAGCTGGACTTTTAACTACCAGGTTGGTGGTTCAAAGCCACCAGCTGCTCCAGGGGAGGAAGACGAGGCTGCCTGCCTTCAAGGCCCTGTGGGGCAGTGGTACTCTTCAGGTTGCTATGACTCCACAGTCCTGGGCGTGGCTTGTTGCTTGTGGCTCAATGTTCCTGCCACTGGCCCGTGGGCGGGCTCTGCAGGGGTCAGTGGCTGGGACTCTGCGTGCAGGAGAGGGATGGTGCATCCCTGTCTGTTCCAGGTTCTAGACACCTACATGTTCCATGCGTTCCTGAAAGCCCGGCTGAGCAGGAGGATGGATGCTTTTGCCCAGATGGAGCTGAGCATGCAGTCCGAGGAGGACAGGTGGGTGTTTGTGTGTCTGCACGTGTGTCTCGGTGTACGTGCATGTACACGTGTGTGTTCACTCTGACAGCCTGCTTCCATGGAGAAAGCCTGCAGGGCCGTCCTACCTTGTGTCACAGGGTTACTGGGTCATAATTGACTGGATGCAGTGGGCAGTGGATATGGAAGTGGCCTCTGTGTGTGTGTGGTTCTTGGGGGGACACTGAACGCCACCCAGGTGTGCTCCCGGTGTTGGTGCCTCGGTACCTTTGCTCACGGTGTGTGCCCCGCCTCGTGACCATTCACCGCTCCTGAGCGGACTGCACTGCCACCTGGCCTGGGTGTCTCTCTGGAGGTCCCGCCTCTGGTCTTGCTGTGCGAGAGGCCCTGCTGTGCTGTCAGGGCTGGTTTGTGCCGGAAGCCCCATTTGCACCCCACCCCCTTCACTGCTCCAAGTTTTGATCCCGTGAGGTCACCACGCGGCCTGCCCACAGTGGACCGACAGCACGCTCCTTGGAGAGCCGCTCTGTGAGCCATGAGCTTTCTTCCGCCCCAGGATCAGTGGCCTGCTTGGCAGCCCCCGTCGGCCCACCGTCCAGAAACTGGCCCTGCGCAAGTCCTCCCCGCTGCAGGCGGCCCACCGACGCATGGTAGTCAGCATGCCCAACCTGCAGGACATCACTGTGCCCGAGCTCCCGCCCAGGAACGCCTCCCTCCGGAGCGTCAGCCCCTCCAGGGCCTGCAGCAGCCGCAGAGGTGAGGTGTCCCCCTCGACACGAGTCTGCAGTCCCCTGCAGCTGATGGCGACTGACCGGCTCCTTCACGGGAGGAGGGACTTTTGCAGCTGCTCCGCTATCTGAAGCATTTTCGGAGTGCTAGTTTGAGAGCCATGTTGACGGCAGAAAAGTGTCTTCTTTTTGTTTGTTTGTTTGGTTTTTTCCCATCTCGCTTTCCTGTGCTGGAGCCTTGGGTGCGATGGGTACAATGCACGGCTGCTTACCTATACGTCACCAGTTCAGACCCACCAGCTGCTCCAAGGGAGAAAGATGAGGCTGTCTGCTCCCCCCGTAAATGTTACAGCCCTGGAAGCCCTCTGGGCAGCGCTCCGTGTCCCTGTGGAGTCCCTGTGATCACGTGAGTGGTGGCAGTGATGCGTCAGGGCCTGCACAAACACGTGCTGTTGTTGCAATGTGCCATCAGTCTGTCCTGACTCGTGCCCCCGTGCATACCAGAGGGAGACACAGCCCGGTCCTGTGCCACCCTCACAAGGGTGTGTCCTGAGCCCATTGTTGCAGCCACGGTGTCCATCCAGCCCACCCAGGGTCTTCCTCTTCTCGGTTGACTTTGCGCTTGACCAAGCACGATGTCCTTCCCCAGGGACTGGTCTCTCCTGACATGTCCGAAGGAGGTCTTGGGCAGCCTGGTGACCGGTGCAGCATGTCCTTTGGTCTCTGGACTGCTGTTCCCAAGCCGGACGGAAACCTTGACCACCTCGACCTCTCCTCCGTCCGTCATGGGGGGACACCGTGGCCCTGTGGTGAGGGCTTGGGTTTCGGTGGTTTTGTTCTTGACACCGAGTTCTCATCCATCCTGAAGTCTACATCCTTGATCTTCATCAGCAAGGGCATTAATCCCCCTCACTCTCAGCGCGCAAGCTGGTGTCCTCTGCACACCGCAGGTGGCTAGGCAGTCTTCCTCCAGGGCTGACTGAGTTCTTCGTACCATCCGGCTTCTTGGATGATTTCCCTGCCATATGGACTGAACGAGGCTGGTGAGGGGCCACACCCCAACGTGAACCTCCAGACTGTACACCGAGCAGCACCCCGCTGGCCTGTCCTTGGATCCCACAGAGTGCCTGGAGGTGGCGGGGCTGGTGTGGACCGGAGCTCTGTGCTAATCCCTGCCCCTTGGTGTTTCAGCGCAGAGCGTGGCCCCCAAGGCAACCTTCACGTTCAAGATCCCAGAAATCCACTTCCCACTGGTGACACAGTGTGTCTGCACCTACTACGCGGACTTTGTCGACCTCCTGAGCAAGGCCATGGGCCTGCTGGGCCCCGACAGCTCCGTGCTGCTGGCCCGCTACTTCTACCTGCGCGGACTCATCCAGCTGATGCAGGGCAGGCTGCTCGGCGCCCTGCTGGACTTCCAGAGCCTCTACAAGACGGACATCCGCATCTTCCCCGCCGACCTGGTGAAGCGGGCGGTGGCGGCCATGTCCGCCCCCGAGCGCGCCCAGACAGAGCGGACGCCAGAGCTGAAGCGGCTCATCCACGAGGTGGTGGACAAGCCCGGGGAGGTGGCCAAGGTGGATGACCACGTCAAGAACTTCGAGCTGCCCAAGAGGCACATGCAGCTGGAGGACTTTGTGAAGCGGGTCCAGGAGTCGGGTGTAGTGAAGGACGCCAGCACCATCCACCGGCTATTTGAGGCGCTGACCGTTGGTAAGGGGCAGGGCTGGCGTAGGAGGAGGGGGCTGTGAGCCTCAAGGACAGGTGTGGCACCACACGCATGTGGATGAGGCTGAGTCCCAAAGTGGTTCACACACTTGTGCCCAGGGGTCGGGGGTCGGTGGGGGAGTGGATGGCTCTGGGTCCTCTGTGGGGGGGCTGCAGACAGGTGAGTTTCCTCAGTGACATCTGTCTGACTCCTTCTCCTAGCCCACCTCCCGAGAGTCGGTTCCGAATCACAGCAGCCCATAGGACCAGGTAGAGCATCCTCTGTGGGTTTCTGAACCTGTCCGTCTTCAGGGCAGCAGAAAACCTCATCTTTCCCCAGGGGACGGATGGTGACTTTGAGCTGAAGACCTTGTAGTTGGCCTTGTAGGACAGCACATCAGCATTCTGCCACCAGGGCCCCCTAGGGGACCTCAGAGTAAAGGTCTACTCCAAAGAGGGGGTGCCGGGGGGTCCACCGGGCAGTGCACGCCAAGCCAGCCTGGCGGGGCGTGGTGGTGGTTTTGGGGCCCTCCACAGGGGCCGTCTTGGTGGACTTCCCTGAGGGACACAGCAAGATCCCAGGGACTTCGTAGGAAGCAGCCCTAAGGAAACTGCACTGGGGAGGAAAGGCCAGGAGACACCGCCCTCTGTTGGCGGGAGGCGGCACTGCAGTCCCTCTGGACCCATTGCCCCCCCCCTCCAGCCCCCCACCCCCCACCCGTTCTGCCCGTGGGGGCACTGCAGAGACTTGGGCTTGTCTCCAGGTGGGCAGGGCAATGTGGCGGGACTAGCCTGCCCCACCCTCCGAAGCCCTGATGTGAACGGTAACGGACCCTTGCTTTGCAGTGTACACACCTGCCTCTCACGGGTCTTATCTCCGGGTCCCTGGCTCCTCCGGGTAGCTTTGAGGGGTTGGATGACGGTGAGGAAACATTTGTCCCCTGCACACCCTCACCCCCACCCCCAGCCCCGCAGCGTCCCCAGCGCAGGGACCGTGGGTTCACAGGACACACCCCACTCCTAGTTCTTATTCCTGATGCAGTGGCCCCCCCCTCTCCCCTGCTCCCCACCAACCTCTGGGATTGGTTTGTCGTAATCCTAACAGATAGTGAAACTGACCAATCCTTTGTGAGGGTCCCCCCACCACCACCAGCATTCGCTGGCCGCCCCATCCCTGGTGGGCTGAGCCCCTTAGCATCAGTCCCCATGTGGGGCTTACAGGGCCTGGTGAAAGGGCAGGTCGCAGCAGTGCCATGCTTGGTCTGAGCTCTGGGCTCTGCGGAGGCGGGCCCGAGGGTCTCAGGTCGGGGGCAGCCTGCATCTTAGGAAAGCCCTTCTGGGTGCAGAGTGACCGCTCAGAGCCTCTTGCTGGGTGCATGGGCGGGGCCCTGGACACACCGGACAGAGCGGCCGACAGACTCAGGACACAGGAGACAGCTGTGCGCTCCAGGAACTGGGAGAGGCTGAGGAGCGAGAGCAGCAGGGCTTGGGGACAGCGTGGGGGAGTGGACAGGGACAGGCCCGTCCAGCGGGGTGGGCCTGGGCCACACAGCTCAGCAGCCATGCCGCGGGGCTTCCCACCGCCTCACTCTGAAACCTGTGCTCTGTTGTTTGTCCTGAAGGGACGGTGGCCGGGCCACCTTTAGGCAGGGCTCAATCCAGCGGCACTACAGAGGAATGCTGGACTAGCTCCTGGAGGTCGGCCCTTCCCAGAGCAGTCTCTGTGTTCCCAAGGAAACTAGGAGTTGCGCCGTAACTAGGTGTGGGTCACGCGGCCAGCGCTGGGGTCAGGGCTGCAAACCGAGGCCCACTCACTGCCACTGTGTCGGTGCCGACCCACAGCCCCTCCGCGTGGGTCTCCGAGACTGAGTAGAAAGCTCATCTTCCTGTGTGTGGAGCGGCTGCTGGTTTCGACTGCGGCTCCCAGCCCAGCGCGTAACAGCTGCACCACCCCGGCTCCATGGGGTCCGGCCAGCAAGGGCCAAAGAGTCAGCCCCCCTGGTGCCAGGGAAGGAGGCACAGCCAGGAAGACCACATGCATGCTCCCTCTCCTAGGTGGACAGAGCAGTCAACGCCGTAGGACTGTCTTACGGGGGCGGGTGGGTGGCAAGTGCCCCGACCTCTGTGTGCACGCGTGCTTCCTCAAAGCCTCTCCCCCTCCTCCTGGCACACATCCAGGGCAGCAGAAGCAGATCAACCCGGAGACCTTCCGCGACTTCTACCGCTGCTGGAAGGAGACGGAGGCCGAGGCGCAGGAGGTCAGCCTGCCGCGGTCAGTGACTGACCAGCTGGACAAGAATGAGTGTGTCTACAAGCTGTCCGGCGCCGTTAAGACCAACCGCGGCGTTGGCAAGATCGCCCTGACCCAGAAGCGCTTGTTCCTGCTCACAGAGGGCAGGCCCGGCTACGTGGAGATCTCTACCTTCCGGAACATAGAGGTGGGCCGGCCGCCTGAGGCTCAGTGGGCTGGGGCTTAGTGGGGCTGGACCCCTAGAGCTCCGTGGGACAGGCTACTGGGGCTCCATGGGACAGGCTACTGGGGTTCAGTGGCACAGGCTACTGGGGCCATCCACCCTAGACTCAGCTGGGGCGGGTCACTCTCCACCGGGACTGCCCAGCTCTTGGTCAGACCCTCTGGGGCAGCCCTCACCCTTTGTGGGCCTGCATGTGAGCCCAGCTCCTTCCACAGCTCCGGGCCCCAAAGCCTGAGCCCCCTACCCCCCACCCCCCATGCTTCATTTCTCCAGTGTGAACACTCTCCTCTCCGACGGTAGCTGCTCCCTGCGTGGCCACTGCCTCTGGGTGTGACACCCCTGCCTTGTCTCTCGGCCTCGACAGGAAGTCAGGAACACCACTGCTGCCTTCCTGCTTCTGCGGATCCCCACGCTGAAAATCAGGGTGTCGTCCAGGAAGGAGGTCTTTGAGGCCAACCTGAAGGCTGAGTGCGACCTCTGGCACCTCATGGTGAAGGAGATGTGGGCCGGGAAGAAGCTGGCAGATGATCACAAGGTCCGAGGGTGCTGCCTGCCCCGCTGAACTCAGGCTTGTCCGTTCCACGGGTCCTCGTCAGCACACGACCCGGGACGTGGCCCCTCCGTCAGTGGGGCTGGCCGGCTGGCCTCTGTCCCTGTGGTGGCAGTGGAGCAGAGGCCAGAGGACGTGGTCCCGTCAGTGGGATGGGTGGAGTTGACCCCCAGTGGCCGTGGAGAGGATGTATTTGTGCTTCCTGGTGACAGGCAGGCTCCGGAGCCAGGAGAGCCCTGTGGCTGAGCGGTGGCTACACAGGTGCCCTCCCTGCCCTCCTCTCTGCTCCCCTTCTGGTGACTGGGCAGCATCCGCCAGGCAGGTCAGCTTGGGCTTCCGGGGCATGGCATAGCTGCCCTGAGGCTTCCTCGCCTGGACGGCACAGGGCAAGGCTGTGGCCGAGGGCAGGGTGGGCTCCAGTGTCCTGGGGACTTAGGTGCCGTGCTCACTGTGGGACCCGCAGTGTCAGCAGAGTTCACAGATGAGGCCACACACCCCCAGATCACACAGGCAGGAGCCCCGTACAAAGACGGGCAAAGACCAAGCAAGTCACCCAGCCGCCGACGGGCCTGCTGTGAGGACGGGAGTCCCTGTGATGGGAGGGGCCCAGGGCTAGGGGTGATGGCGTGGGAGGCAGGTTGAGGCCCGTCCACTTCTGACCCACCCTCTGAGCCTGGTCCCCAGGCTCCTGGCCTTTGGTTCTCATGTCCCAGCCTGGTCCAAGGAAGACCTGGGGACTGCTTTTGCCAATAAAGTTTTATTGAAACACAGCCGGGCTGCCTGCTCTTGTCTGTGGTAACTGCGGCTGGCTTTGTGTGAGGCAGCAGGGCCCGGTGGTCGCAAGGGACCCCCACGTGGCCCTGGACGCCTGGAGTACTCACTGCCAGGCCCTCTCAGAGAGAATTCGCTGACCCTGCGGGAGTGACCAGCAGCTGTCTTCTTGGAGCTAGTGCAGAAAGGTCATCGGGCACTAACCCAGTCGGTTCCCTCTGACCTCGGGGTGCTGTTGCCCTCTGACCTCAGGCTGCTGCTCTGACACCGCTCCACTTTTTGCGCAGGACCCTCAGTACGTCCAGCAGGCCCTGACCAACGTGCTGCTGATGGATGCTGTGGTTGGCACGCTGCAGTCGGCCAGCGCCATCTACGCGGCCTCCAAGCTGTCCTACTTTGACCGGCTGAAGAGCGAAGGTAAGCCAGCGTGCGTGCACCTGGCTCGAGGAGCTCCCGGTCGGTCCTTGGGCCGAGCGTGGCTGGAGTGCTGGCATGGAGGCAGGGGGCCGGCTGGCCCCCTTGCCTCAGTGTCCCGTCTGTGCAGGGATGCCAGACCGCCCTCTGTGAGGGGACACGAGGGAGTGGGAGGACCACAGCCTGGGATCAGCATGAGGGGCCACTCAGAGCAGGCTGGCCCCTGGAGGCGTCGGGCAGGGCAGGCTTCCATGGGGTCACCTTCTCCCAGTGTGCTGCGGTTCTGCACGGCCCCCCGGGGGTGGTGGTGCTGGGACAGCGTGGGTTGTCACAGCCAGAAGGGGAAGGGGGTCCTAGCTTAGAATCCCTGGTGGCGCAAAGGGTAAGTCCTTGACGGTGAATCCATGGGTTGGTGGTTCGAACCTGGCGGCTGGTTTCTGTCGGCGTTGTGCCAGAGCCTGTGGGGCAGTAGGAGGGTTGGCTCTGTCCCCCCGCCCCCC